ATTGAATGATCAACATATTCTTAACTGAGTGGGGGGGGGGGGCAGAAGTCCTTCAGTTTCTTTGGCCACCACCATCCTTGATAGCTTCTTCTCAGCCACTAAGTGTATATATAGTCCATGCTGCCAGTCGCAAACTCTGAGTTTCCAGCAAGTTGGAATCAAGCAACGGTTTGGAGGGTCGAAGGAGACAAATCAGGGGACAGCAATTCATGATATAGAACGATCCTCAAATGCGACGAGGGTCAGAAAGTCAGGATGTGTGAGGCCCACAAAGTCCTTAACTGTGCGAGGGGGTGAGAGAAACATTGTTGGGACCAACAATTCCAGAATTGCTGAATGGGTAGATGAAACTCTTGAAATCCGAAACTTCCTCTCATCCACAAAGGGTAATGGCTTGAGTGTCTGCCAAAAAGTTGCCAGCCGTCATCAATGTCAGGTTTGTCCATCCAATGCAAAGTTTTATAGCAACAGGGGAGCTGGTCGGCCAGAAATTGTGAATTTCTATGTTGGGCGGGCTGACGATTGTACACAGGATACTTGTTGTTGCCTTTGCAGAATCCTATTCACTGAATAAAGCTGCTTGTCCTTGTCCTTTTTTAGCCAACAAAGCCCTGTTTCCCGACAAGCTGTTCACTACGAGTCAGTAGTTAAGGAATTTGTTTGGGGCGGGGGGAGTGTCAGCAATTCAGGATTTGTGTGGGCTGAACAAAGCCTTAAATGCTGAGGGGGTGTCAGCAATTAGGGTCAGAAATCATTGTTTTTCAGCTGCTGAGGGGGGACGTCAGCAATTGAGCAGGTGTCGGGGCCGGAAAAGCATTTTTTGCTGGGCGGGGGGGGGGGGGGTGATGCCAAAAAATAGTTGCTGAAGGGGGGCCAGAAAATCCTCAGTTGCTGAGGGGGGGGGGTTTCAGCAATTGAGGATTTTGGGAAAATCATTCGTTGTTGAGGGGCGGTCAGCAAGTATGTCGGAGGGCAAAGCGGGGGGTCAGTGATTGAGGATCTGCAGGGGACCGACAAATCCAGCGTGAGGGCCGTAAAGCAAAATTCCGCTAAAAAATCTTAATTGCTGCACCATTTCCTTAAATGCTGAGGGGGGGGTCAGCATTTAAGCTTTTTGCAGGTAGTTTTCAGCGCATTTTGGATTCCCAATACGGGTAAAACACCTATTGGGAATCCAAAATGCGCTGAAAACTACCTGCAAAAAGCTTAAATGCTGACCCCCCCTCAGCATTTAAGGACTTTTCGGCCCTCGCGACCCCCGCAAATCCTTAAATCCTTAAATGCTGACCCCCCCTCAGCATTTAAGGATTTTTCGGCCCTCGCGGCCCCCCGCAAATCCTTAAATGCTGACCTCCCCTCAGCATTTAAGGAATTTCGCTCCCCCGCAAATCCTTAAATGCTGACCCCCCCTCAGCATTTAAGGATTTTTCGGCCCTCGCAGGAATTTTCGCTCCCCCGCAAATCCTTAAATGCTGACCCCCCCTCAGCATTTAAGGATTTTTCGGCCCTCGCGGCCCCCCGCAAATCCTTAAATGCTGACCCCCCTCAGCATTTAAGGAATTTTCGCTCCCCCGCAAATCCTTAAATGCTGACCCCCCCTCAGCATTTAAGGATTTGTTGGCCCTCGCGGCCCCCCGCAAATCCTTAAATGCTGACCCCCCCTCAGCAAGTAAGGATTTTTCGGCCCTCGCGGCCCCCCCTTAATCCTTCTTTGCTGACCCCTCTCCCTCGCGGCCCGCCGCAAATCCTTAAATGCTGAGGGGGTCAAGGATTTCCGCCGTCGCGGCCCCCCGCAAATTCTTAAATGGTTTGTCAACCCAAAAAAACTTAACTGCTGACCCCCCCCCCAGCATTTCAGGATTTGTCGGCCCCACCAAATCAATACTTGCTGAACCCCCCCCTGAACATTTCAGAATTTATTCGACCCCAAATAATCCTCATTTGCTGAAGCAGAGGTGCATGCGTACTTGCCTGCAGAAACATGCAATTCCAGCAGCGCACTTTCAAATGTGATGCGTGGGTTCATTCAAGCGACGGCCGCAGATGAGAACTGGCAAAAACATATGCTCTGCTGCTACCAAATAAAGATGTTTGTGAACTGATAAATCCTGAAGCGCCGATCAGCAACTATGCCTGTCGCCCGCAAAATCCTTAGATGCTAAGGGGCGGGGTCAGCAAGGCCCGAAAAAATCCTTAATTGCTCCGTAGGGTGGGGTCAGCCACAGAGGAATTTGTTGGAAACGGACCGAAACATTCTCAATTGTTGGGGGCAGGCCGGAGGTCGGCAACTAGGATGCTCAAAAGGAATCAGCAATTAAGGATTGTTGGCGGTCGAAATATCCTTGAATGCTGAGGGGGGGTGTTGTTGCCGCCACAAAAACCCTTACATGCTTTGCATTCGCATCGTTTCGGTCAAAATTTGGATACTTACTGTTACATTTAAATTTTGTTGCGCGTACCCTTCTTCAGGGCATTCTTGCAAGGCGCGATGAATTGCTTGGCTGCCCTGCCATTCGCGACGCCCGTTCTTCATTAATTAACGCCCAAATTGGTGTTGCCAGATTGGACAGTTTGTCGTCGCTATTTCCGTTGGTCGCCATTGTTCAGAAATGTCCCAGGGTGGTGAAAAAGTTTTTTCCGGGAATGATTCGGGCTTAATTGCTGCACCCTTCTCTTAATTACCGCGCAAAACCCTGGGTTACGCAAGTTCACACATAACACCAACACAAAGAAGCCGTGTCGCCCTAATCAACTGTCGCCGCAAACATTCTCTGGGCAAGCTCCGCTACTGAGACACTCATGACATCCAAGCTTCGGCTACTATTGCTCTTGTCAGCTGCCTATCACTCCAAAATCCAACTGCGCATGTTTATTTTACAAGCCAATTACAAAAGCCAACTGCCCAATCTCACTTCACAAGCCAATGACAACTGCCAACTGCCCAATCTCACTTCACAAGCCAAATGCACTGTCCCAAAACACAAGCCAAATTTTCGAGTGTTACTTCACTATCCTAAAGCGCAAGCTAACTTCTCGGGCGTTTCTTCGGCATCGTAAAGCGCAAGTATTTTTTTCAGGCGTTACATTGCAAGCCGACTTTTCCTTTTCTACCTTCTCTTCTCGATTCTGAGTTCTTTCTTCTTTTTCCGGCGGAGCTGGGGAGACGCTCTCCGCGCCGAGATAGGTCCGCAAGTGCTTTGTGCAAGTGCTCTGTGCAAGTGGCTCTGCGCAAGTTGCTCTGCGCAAGTTGCTCTGAGCAAGTGCTGCCGGAGCTGTGGGAATGTACTTCGCGTACTATTTTTTGGTACTTAAAAGTTGTGATTTTCCAGCCGGAGCTGCGGGAGTGTGCTCCGCGTACTACGTTTGTACTTAAAAGTTGCGATTTTCCAGCCGGAGCTGCGGGAATGTGCTCCGCGTACTATGTTTGTACTTAAAAGTTGCGATTTTCCAGCCGGAGCTGCGGGAGCACGCTCCGCATACTACGTCTGTACTTAAAAGTTGCGATTTGCCAGCCGGAGCTGCAGGAGCACGCTCCGCGTACTACGTCTGTACTTAAAAGTTGCGATTTGCCAGCCGGAGCTGCAGGAGCACGCTCCGCGTACTACGTTTGTACTTAAAAGCTGCGATTTTCAAGCCGGAGCTGCCGCGGACCAGGGGGGAATCGAACCCGAGACCGCGGGATTGCGAAAGCAGGCGCGCAAACCACGAGACAACTTCCAAAGGCCGTTTCGCGAGCAAGAAAATCGCACGGCGCCACAGCGAGAGCGCTTCGACACGCACGATCTCCGCAGAGGGTTCATCGGGCTCAAGACAGATGCGCACGGCGCCACAGCGAGAGCGATCCGACACGCACGATCTCCGCAGAGGGCTCGCCGCGACCAAGACAAATTCGCACGGCGCCACAGCGAGAGCGCTTCGACGCGCAGGATCTCCGCAGAGGGTTCGCCAAGGTCAAGACAAATTCGCACGGCGCCACAGCGAGAGCGCTTCGACACGCACGATCTCCGCAGAGGGTTCGCCGCGTCAAGACAAATTCGCACGGCGCCACAGCGAGAGCGCTTCGACACGCACGATCTCCGCAGAGGGTTCGCCGCGCTCAAGACAAATTCGCACGGCGCCACAGCGAGAGCGCTTCGACACGCACGATCTCCGCAGAGGGATTCGCGCGGCGCCACAGCGAGAGCGCTTCGACACGCACGATCTCCGCAGAGGGTTCGCCGCGCTCAAGACAAATTCGCGCGGCGCCACAGCGAGAGCGCTTCGACACGCACGATCTCCGCAGAGGGTACGTTTCGTAAGCTCCCGTCGGGCCTACCCCCGCCATAAAAAGAAGAAGAATTAAGAGTCGAGATGTGAAGGTAGAAAAGAAAAGTTAGCTTGTGTCTTTAGGATAATGAGATAACACCCGAAAAGTCGATATGAAGGTAGAGAAGAAAAGTTAGCTTGTGTTTTTAGGATAATGAGATAACACCCGAAAAGTTGACATGAGAAGTTGGCTGGTGAAGTAACTCTCGAAAAGCTGGCATGAGAAGTTGGCAGGTGAAGTAACTCTCGAAAAGTTGGCATGAGAAGTTGGCAGATGAAATAACTCTCGAAAAGTTGGCAAGAGAAGTTGGCAGGTGAAGTAACTCTCGAGAAGTTGGCATGAGAAGTTGGCAGGTGAAGTTGGCAGCCGCTTTTAGAAGAAGAACCCTTCGCAATGCTTCCGGGAAAAAGAAGCAACAAAAACAAACAAACACACGCACACACACACAAACAAACAAACACACAAGCACACCCAGCCACTCAGCCACCCAGCCACCCAGCCACCCACCCACTCAGCCACCCAGCCACCCAGCAACAAACCCACCCACCCACACACCCACCCGCCCGCCCGCCCGCCCACCCACCCACCCACGCACGCACGCACCCACGCACCCACACAGACGCACGTGTGTTGTGTCTTTATACATGGAAAGGAAGGACGATTGCCATAAAAGTAACATCTGAAACCGAGGGGC